TATTATTTCAGCAAGCTGTTCTATACAGCGATCTTGTGATCTTTAATTGTACTCAGAATGGAAATAAAAACTTATCACAGCACACAAATGGGCCTCCTTATAGTGTCTTAGATATAAAATCGCTGCCTTTAGCAACAAATACATCCCCAGCTAGAATCAAATTGGTGACCTGAGCGACACAGACACTTTAATTCAACAAGCCAATAGAGTTGGGTTCCGATAAGATTGTTGCAGTACTTGTACCTCTTCATACAAAATATTGCATGGTCGGGATATTGGCACTCTGGAGAATAAAATAATGCCATAGTACTACCGTATACATCCATTTTTTTTTTATGTCACTTGTGACATTTCACTACAGTAATAAAGTTTTTTTTATAGGAGGGGGAAAAAAAGTGCAATGGGGACACTGTCAGACACCACACACTGTGCATTCAGCTGGTGTGTCAGGATGATCAATGCATATAGCATAATCAAAGTGAAGATTTAGCCAGAGTTTTGGCAATCACTTCTGATCAAATATCTGCATGAGCATCAGATTTGAACCACAACAAAAAAAAAAAATGTTTTTACCTATGGCAATATTTTAATTGGTGAATCCTTGGCTCATACACATAACACAAATTGCATAAGAACGTGGCAAACGTGTATTTCCCCTCAATGTTGCCGATCTCCCGCACAACACAGCAGGGGCAGCGACCGTCAGGAGAAAAGCATGCTATCGGCCTCTGTTTGACCGCGCTAGTTACAGAGCCACTAACTCGGCTTCGATCAGGGCCTATACATCCATTTTAAATACAACCCACTACTCACCTTACTGATGCTGAAGTTATTGTTATCGTAATGCAGCCGATGGAGGTAGAGGTGAGAGGCGGTGGTGTAGGCAAGCCATGACCCACATCGGGAGATACAGCTACATCGTATATTTTCAGATCCCTAAACAGAGACAGCAAGTGATGGGTCAAGTCCGGTATCTTCAAACAGTTCCAATCATTAGGTAACATGGATGTGGAACTTAGGTTAATGAGGTTCTTAAACAGGTAACGTTTTACACATGAAGAGGCTGTTTGAAGGTTTGCAACCCTTAAAAAAACTGAATCTTTAAAGCTGATCTCCATACAGATATAAGTACCGGAATCTGACTAGATATCAGCCTCTCAGCCCATATACCGCTTTCACTGGTAGAGGAAGTAGCAGCACAAAGAGCCAATCGCTTGTTTTGCAGTGCTCATGTGCTAACAAGTGACATGCTGATAGGACCAGAGAGCAAAGTGACAGAAAGATGTGCTCATCGGTCTGCTGCTTCTCCTTTCACTGTCCAATCGGAGGTTGTGGGAGGGACAAGACCTGTAAGTGTTACTGAACGCCAAAGAATCAAATACCCTCCCTTGCTAAACAAGATTGTGTGGCAGAGCTGTGTACCTTTCGGGACGGGCTGGACATAATTGCAATTTTCTGGCAGGTAAAACAGCTCCCTCATATGTATTATATGTGTGTGCGTGTGTGTATTTTGAGGTTTGCTCCATTTGCATCTGTTGTGTCCTGGTACAATGAAAGTCAGGGCAGGCACATATTCTGAAAAGCAGACCAGGGAGAGGGGTTTATGTCAGGCTGGCTATTACTCACTATGACCTGGCCTGACCCACCCCTGCACTCCTCCTAGAGTATAAGTACTTGCCCTGAGCTCAGCCCATCTGTTATTTTGCTTTAGTGCCGAGGACTTAGGTTTTACTGGAACAAGAGTCAAGGGGAAATCTTGCAATGGGGACATCCTGACTGTAATTATACTTTAAAGCTTTCAAAGAACCACTTAAAGGTACATCCTGTTGTAATGGAACTCCAGGCTAAGTGCACAGAGTACCCATTTCCAAACAGTGCTTTCATTCCCCTTGCTAGCACTATGCTTTCTGGGTAATAACAGCACAACAGTAAATACTGTATACCATAATGATCTGTTTTATAGCTTACTGTCAAAGAATTCTGTTTAGCTATCCAAGCAGGTGACACCACTTTTTCCTTTTCCAGCTCTGCTCTTCCTGTGTCACCGGACTGTCCATTAGACAGTGATTTAGTGTCATCTCAATGCTGATTTGTTGCCCAATAAGCAGCCAGTGACGAAGCTGAGGAAGGCAGGGATGAGTAAATCACACATCTCTATCCTCCTGTCTGCTTTGGCAGATGAAACAGTTCCCATTAATTGTGTAATCACCGTTTTGTTAGGCACAAACAGTGCAGTGACAGTGATTGATATGACGCACCTTTCTCTTCAGCTGTAGAAGGAGCTCCTCTTCTTGTTTCACAGGAAGGATATCGCCATCTTTCCCTAACACAGAACAGAACACAAAGCTTACAATACTGCAAAAACACTTTGAGAAGTCTTCCACTTTTCAAGGACTTTACATTACGACCTGAATACAAAATCCTGTCCTACTGACTGCTAAAGAGAACCTGTACTATGCCCATACCAGGAAACGGAACGGGTTAGCTGGAGAGGAATGATGAGGGTCAATTCAGTTCAATTAACAAAAAGCATGAACACAAGGAAATGTTTATCAGATCTGAATATATCAAATCTCACTGGGATCAGCGAAAAATAACTGTCCCCTTTTTTAAAATTATTATTATAAGCACACCTAGGGCTTGTTCACACCAGTGTATTGCAGTAATGTGCGGTAAAACGTGTATGTTACTGCAATGTGGATTAAAGGAGAACTATGGGGTCAGGGCTTTTCCCCATAGTTCTCCTTAGGGTAACGGGAGGACACAAACTATCGTCCTCCCGTTACCCTAAGCTCAGTATACTGGTAGTCAGAGCGGATCCCGACACCGATATCCGCCCAGCTGCGTGAGTGATAGCTGGCTCTGCCTATCTAGAGGCAGAGCCAGCTGTACCCGCCCCCTCCCCCGTCCGTTCCGCCCGTCAGCGCTGGCGGATCGGGGAGGGGGGAATCCAGCCCCTCCCCTGTCACGGCAGAGAGCCGTGACAGGATCGAGAGGTGAGCGAACAGTCTCATTGTCACAGGTCGGCTAGAACTATGAGGTGAGTGAAAAGCACGCCCCTCATAGTTCTCCTTTAAGGCAACATCCACTCGGAGTGTTATGGTGCCATAACACTCAATGTACCACAATGTGCATTGCAGTGATTTAAAAACCACACCATTGTATAAACTTGTGTGTGTGTTGAGGTGCTTTAAATGTATTGATTTTGAATTAGCTGGCTAACGCAGCATGCCTCAATGCAGAGACGCAAGCTCTGCAATATTCCCTAGTATGAACAGGTCCCAAAGGTTCAGGTACACAGGAGTTTTTTGAAACGCAGATTCCCATTTAAGTCAGTGGTATGCATGACAGCTCTGAGGCTGCGTTTGACCTGATTTGCATAGTGTAATTTATGGATGAAAATAGTCCTATGTGTTTGTGTTGAAGGCAAAGCAGGCCAAATGCAGCCTCTCTCTGTGCATTGGTATGTAGCTCCATTGTAAGCCATTCTTCGACAGCAATGCCTATGCCTAAGGCACAACTGATGAAGAGCATCCTACGTGACCCCCGAAACATCGCAATAAGTAGGTTTTGCACGCACGTCATTAAATAGACGTATTCTATCCTTGAAGTGCTGGTATCCATATTTTTCTATATTACTGGACGGTGGCCATCCGTCGACTACCGATGCACCCACCTTACTTTCAATGGATGAGCGGTCAGGAGTACAATGGGTACATGGACTGTAACTGTATATGGGGTAGGAGTCAACATAAATGGTGGGGGTTGACCTATGGGAAAGGAATCAACGTATCTGCCCGCCTTTGTTGCACTTCCCTGCCACTTCATTCACCGAACAGCACTTGTGTAACGTTTTGACCATACACTGCGTACACAAAGAGATAAGTATTCCCCAGCTGGTTGCTGGCAATGAACACTGAATTTTGAAAGGTAAGGCAAAGAGTTACATGCTACCCTATACCCAGAAGGTGTGGGCTTTACCTGGGGCACCATATGGTAGCAAGAGAGCACATGTGCGGTGTACTGGCTTCCTGCAATGCCTGCTATCCAGTGCATCCGCTACTGGCATTGTGTAGCAGGGGTAGGCAACCTTGGCACTTCAGCTGTGCTGAAACTACAAACCGAATCGTGCCTCTGGGAGTCTTGCAATGTCTCATGGGACTTGTAGTTCTACAACAGCTGGAGTGCCAAGGTTACCCTTCCTGATGCTTACACTAACCCCTCACCGTCATGTAACAGGCCTCAGTGCTGGTAAGTGACTTACGTGCCCAGAGCTGCAACATGGCAGAAAAGAGTCTCAAGCTTCCCATACCAGACATTTTACTTTGTTCCGGAGGGTAAACAGGGCGCTGGGGAACGAATATGAGGGGAAAAGTACAGGTTCTCTTTGACTTATTGTGCCATCTTTGCCTTCTAATGATCCCCTTTACCCATACCTGATTGATCAGTCTGACCCAGACGCCACAGCTCCAGATGATCGGGGAACTGGAAGAGAAGCAATCGGGAAGCTTGAGCGCAAGACACGAGATGGTGCTGTGGAGGGGAAAACACGCTTGTTAATATGCCATCGTCATAACACTCAAACTGGCTTTTCAACATGAATTCAGATTTGGTCTGGCTGCCAAAACTGAGCATAAGTCAGGTCAGGAAATTTGATTTTTAAAGTTTATTTAAACTAAAATGTAATATATTGCAATTTAATAGTCCTTTAATTGTGGTGGCTGCTTCACCTAGTGATCCTGCCAGTAACAGAATTGCTGCCCTAGGGTGACAACACTCACTGTATTATATATCTGGAGGAGTAGCATTGTCACCCTAAGGCAGGAATGTGTGTTAGGAGTACAAAACACCTCCCTTTTCATCTCAATAACATAGGGGAAGATGTTCTGGGTTTCACAGAAAAAACTTAGATGGGGCTTATAACATTGCATGGGATTTCAGTGCAGCATTGTCAGCTTCCTACAGAAAGTTAGGAGCTCGCTGATATCTGACGGGACCAACAGGTATTTCTTTGCATTCATGGAACAGATGTTCCGAACATGCTTTCAATGGTTTACTTTAAGGGAGAAGATAAAAATTCATTGTTAGAATGTACAAAGACTTCAATGTGCTTGGTCTAACGTACCTTTCTCCTTCCGTGAATCAAAATTACTTCCCCTAGAGCTCGCTCGTGTGGTCTAAAGCCTAGTGAAAGATCATGGGCTGACTAGAAGGAGCGTTGTAAGCGCTGGCCACCATTAGAGACTGCAGAGAGTCTATTACCTTTATTCAAATGGATAAGGTCTTTCAGGTATGCAGTGATAGAAAAGGGTCAGCAAAGCACAATCACTGTGCAGCATTGCTATGCAGGATACCAGCACATACAATAAGTATATATGGCTGCCCCCATGTGAAAAACATAATTACAAACTATACACAGAAATTAGTTCTATTTTAGTTAGATGTGGAGCTCGGTTGGCTGAGGCAGCCCCTGTCTTACATATAAAATACCTGTTGATCCTGCCAATGTAGTCCTCCTAATGCAGCTTCCTTTGATGGAGTGGCAACTATGCTGCACTGCTCCTGAATTTAAAAGCAGAGTTACAACCCTGATGTACGCTGTGCTTGCTTATGTCACAGTGGTATGGACACTTTATGCAGGGGGCGTGGCTATGAGCATTGTCACTGCTGATATAATATAATAAGCCTGTAGCTTGTCAATCAGCACCAGACCATGCCTATTCCCACCCACTGCTTTCTGGATTGGATGAGCTGTTCCTGTTGTTGAAACCCTCACACTGTGAGCTGCAGTGTCTCGGGGGGGGGGGGGGGGGGGGG